GGGATGGATGGAGGTGGGGATATCGGCCTGGGGGGTTCTGGAGATTACGGGTTGAGGATGTGTGGCTTTGCTGATTCAGGATCGAGGAGAGTCTAGGATGCTTGGCTTGCAAACGTGCGGCACAATACTGCGGCCATCCTTCGTGCTATGCTCATCAGATTTGTGATGTCTACAAGCTTCGAACTGTTCAATGTTCCTCAGCTTCATACCGGCTGGAAGACTCGTGGCAGCCATAAGCCTCAATGACCGCAAAGGCTTCGTATCGTACAGATGAATGCTGGCACCCTCTTCAGATCTCTACACTGCCATAGGCCTGGATGCGAAATAAGCTAGCAGTGACCCTTTCCCTTTCCTAACCATGCACACCCCCCTTGGCCACCTGAAGACCCAAAAACCCTAACAACCTATGCCTCGCCCCCAACTCAACAAAAGACCCATAGGAAAGACCCACCTGAAGACCGAACACCAAAACAACCTATGTCTCAACCTCAACCTCAACTCCACCAAAATACCCCAACCCAAGACCCACCTGAAGAACCCATACTGTGGAACACCCATACCATAGACAATAGCATACTCAAACCCATTGACCAACACCGCCACAGAAAACCCACAATTCCCAACCTGTAATCCCCAACCCAAAAAAATGGAAACGATCTTCTCTGATAAAATACCTATAATAGGAATAAGGTTTGGGTAATAAGGTAAAACCATAGTGTAACTAAAGCCTATAACAACTTAAGGATTAGAAATTCATTATGCTTATGAATGCATTATGCGATATCTTGAAGCATATGAATCATATGAAGTCTTGTTTTGCTGTCGTTGCATTCGGCTCGGCAACATCAGCAGGAATTTCAATAATTGTTGTGTCCTTGTGCTTGCCAAAAAGCAGGAAATAATCTTCCAGAAGCTCATCAGCCAATAGCAGCTGATGGACATGACTAAGAACTTTATCAATATCGGATTTAGGTTTCTCGGGATCAGGCTGCGGTTCTGGTGTTTCCTCATCAACAAGTTTATTGGGGAAGTGTTCGTTTAATCGCTTGCGTAGTTCCCTTGTCTGCATTTCGTATTCTGCATCAATTTATGATTGTGATTTGTCGTTTAGATTGCCTTCTTTCCTTAAGTTACCTAACTTCGTTAAGTAAACTTTCATCAACACATCAATACATTTAGTTCCGAATTCTGATGCATTTTATGTCCGCATTATTCGCATAATTGGCTTCCCTTTGCCCTCTTCTCTCTTCTCGCTTGGTTACACTATTTCTGGTTGTCTTGTAGCATTTCCGTTTCGCTTCTCGGCATTTATTACATGTCTTAAACCCACCAAACTCTTCGTCATCCTTTGACTTGAGACGCAGCTGCTAACTAAATATCTCCCGCCTCGCTGCGCCATTATGTCCGAGGCTTTGCCGAGGACAACACAGCCCTCATCCACCGTCAAGTTCGGATCAGCCTGTGGAGGCTATTGAATCAAAGCGAGTGAAAGAGCGCCAGCATGTCTGACGGGGTGCATCAGGTAACGATGGCACGCTCGGACTCAACCACAATCAAGAAAACAGTGTCTGCACAGCAGCGTGAATGATGATAGCAAGAAAAAGAGACACCATAAATGCAAGCAGCACATCATTTGATTGAAACCTGCATCCTACATCCGAATATCTGCCATCTCCTTTCCACGAGTGCAGAGAAGCAAGCACAAACCTCATGGTGGATCCGGACGGCTCTGTCATGCTCTGTCGTGCCTTCCAATCGCCTGTGGCCACACGGAGGGCGTTCACCAGATTCCGCTCTGTCGGCGCTGCACGGTGCTGGAGTTTGAGGCACGTCACCAAGGACGGGTTCACCGTCAACACCTCTCTGGGGGACATCGCATGTCAAAAGACATGTTCTCACATGTGTTCACTGCCTCTCCGTTCGGGTAAACGAAGGACAAGGCATGGCTTCGATGCTCACCTTGACAGCGACACGACGGTCAAATTGCACACACTGCACTGCCTTCTTTCCTCGGTTCATAAGCGTCGACATCACGACCAAGTGCGAAGAGACGGCACTTGCTGAAAGAAGCATCTTAAATATCCGTTTCGTTCTTGCGCGCTGTGGCCGTGTGGCTTGCTTATGAATGAACACAGACACCATCCTTGCGAGAAGAGCCGAGCATCTCTTCGAGCACCAGAGCTGGGAAATGCAGCAGCGCGGAATTTCGTACTGCCCGTCCCTCTTCCTTGGTAGCAGCGGCAAAAGAAGGCCCAGTGGTCTCCAGGCGTCGGCTTTGCCAGGGGACTTGTCATCAGCCACAGGATCACGAGGCGATCCGCCCATCCTTGCAGCACTTCGTCATCCAAACCGCCACGAGAGCCCTATCCCCTTTTTTTTGGCGAGCTGCGGGACGAAAACCCAGAGCAGCCCACTTGGTGGAGCTGGACGGGTTGCCTCTGCCTCGACACAGAAAGAAACTCGCCCAGTACTCCACAAACATCTTGCAACATCTTGCTGGCCTGCTCCGCCTTCTGTGGATGCCGCGTGCATCGCCACACGGCTGGGGCCAAGCGGCCGTACCTTGCGACATGAACCCCGGTGTGCCTGGGCATACTCAAAACAAGCAGCTGTAACACTCCACACATCTCTGCCAGGGCACAAATGGTGCCCGTGCAGTACATCGATGATTTTCCTTGTAGGTACAGCCAGAACGTAGGCTCAAGATTGGTCTCACGCAGCAACGGATCAAGCCCAGCAGTACAACAACAGGAGTTTGCCTCATTGGGGGTCCAAGTTACGAGGTAAACTCGGCCTGTTGGCCGAGGTTTGCCTGCACAGGAATTGCCAAAGGAACTGAAGCAAGCTACCTCTGCCAGAAAAGCCTCCACGCAGGGAACTGAGTGATGGCGGCAGGCTCGATGCACAGCACCTGTGGAAGCCGAGTGTCGAAGTCTTGCCAACTGATAGGGCCTTGAGGCCTCTCTCCATTGTAAAGACCTTGATTTCAGTGGAAGCCGGAGCACCCCTCTCTTCGGGCGTCATGTCCTTCACCGCTCCCAGGAAGAAGACCAGATTTCTCAGGGAGTCGCCCCGTGATCCTCCAAGGAGAGAGGCTTAGTGTACACAAGACATGCAAGGCGCAGGGGTTACAGTGCAGACCTGCCTGCACTTCGGTCGTAGAGGCCCAGACTTTGTGGGAAAGCCTGATAACAAGGCAGCATCGATCACCCCTGCGACATCCTGCGACACACCATCCACTGGCTTTTCTCCGGCCTCGTGCAGCAAGACTACAGCGGACGGTGCAGAGCGGCCATACTTGGCAACCTGGTCTGCGGCACCCCTTTACGCAAAATGTGTACGTCACCCTTTTGCTCAAAAGTATCCTCGACTACTCCATGGCTTGGCCTTGCAGGTGCTAGAAGTGCACTACCCCATATCAACTACCATTCTCGTCTATCTGTCTCCAGTCAGCAATGTGAATCTTGCTGCCAAATCCCTGTAGCAACGGAAGAGGAGCCCGGTGGCAAAGGTGTTCGACGTTTTCCGGCCCTTGATTGAAAGTCAGCAGAGCTGGGTCTGGGACCATATCTTCGAAGTGACCTCCGAGGAATCTTTTCTTGTCCGGCGCCGTAATCTCAAGTCCTTGGAGATCGCCCCGTATCCATTCGCTGAAGCCCGGGTGCTGGCTCTTCACAGCTCGAGCCTGGCATTCCAGTTCCCTCCAGTGCTCGCGCCAGAACCATTATCAGATGGTACTCCTTGGCGACATCATTCCAACAAATTGTACTTCCACTTCCACTCTCCCAATGTTGACATCATGTGCCAAGGCTCTGAAGGCACGGGGCAGCTCGCCACAAATCGCGGTGTTATGTGAAGCGCATGGTAATCCTCGAAGATGAACCTTTCTCTTTGCTGAGGCTTCCGTCGGTCAGAAAGACTAAACGTAACAGGGCGAGCAGCACTATCTCATGAACATCGTCCCAGCAAAGAGATCGACCTCTCCACAATGCTGCCGTCGCAATGCGCGCCTGAACTCACAGCAGCCTATCACTCCGAACGGTGTTGACTGAGATCCTACAGCCCAAGGCCAACGGCGTGACATCAACCGTGTGCAGACTGCGTCCCTCACCAAGGCATCTCGTCGCGACACATGCGTTGAGGTTGCTTTGAAGGACTCGACAGTGAGCTCCCCTGCACGCAGCATGAAAGATAGATGGTAATTGACGAAGGATCAGCTACCCATCAAGCTGATGAGGTGCGGCTTTCATGTCAGTAGTGCCAGGGAACAACATATGGCTGGGCGCATGCTTGAAGGCCCCAAAATGCAGCCACGTGAAGGAAGCATGGATGAGTTCTCTCCATCTTCAGACAACTGTCTCTTGTGATGCCTGGGGCTGTCAACACGAACACCAGCTTCCCGGTCTTCTGCGCAACCGTCCGCGCAGGTGAGAGGCTGCGATTCGGATTCGGAGGAACTCCCATGCCTCGCAAGCAGTAGTTCGCAACGGGTATGCTGATCTTGGCCCAAAAAGGCCATCTCCCAGACACCTGGCTTTACGCTTCGAGTTGGTGGCGCTGCTGGCGTGGCGATGGAAGCCCAGGACTTCGCAGGCCCACAAAGCTGCTGCAGCTCCTGGCATGGGAGGGCACGTCAAAAAAAAAAGGGACCCAATCAAAAAAATCCTGAATAGTGGGGCCCGTAGGATCCTGATTGCCAGGATCCCCAAATCTAAGGTGCCCCTGCTTTGAAATTCAGCCCACACTATCCACAGGGCCGATTCAGAGCCTCGCCTGCTCCTGCTGCTTCAGCTGTTGAGCCAGTTCGAAATCCTCGTTCTCCACGGCTCGCCTCGGCTCCACGTGATCGGGGACCCTCTGCAAGTGGCAGCAAGCGAAACAGAGAGAGAGTATACCAGGTAAGCGAAGTCACAGTTTGGATTCGGCAAGAGCTTGCAGCTGTTGACGAATCTCCTGCTGAGCCAGACCTGGTATAGATGGCCATGGCTGCCGCACAAACTCTCACACAGCAAGATAGCATCCAGGTTTCCGACGGTCAGGTTGCGGTGCAGGTGCCTCCAGAACGCTTTTCTGTGGCGCATGAGTACAAAGACTGACAGCGAAGGAGATTCGGTCCAGCAGAGCAGATGAATCGATCATGCTGTGGGTGTGAACTTGCATCGATATTTCATCCTTATAGCCTCACAAAACCCCGAAACCCTACATGGTGCAACTGCGAAGGTGGATTTTCGAATCCCAGCGGAGCCCTGGCCCTGGCCTTGGCCTTAGCAGAGGGCTTCGACGTGGAGGCCTTGGCCTTCGCTTCTTCGTTTTCTGCCAGACTCGCGCGTGCGACCTGCAAGGCGCTGCCATGGCACATATGGGGTTTAGGGTTTAGGGCGTAGGGTCTAGGATTTGGGTTGTTTTGAGGGTTTAGGGGTTAGGGCCGGTTAGGGTTTAGGGTCTAGGATTTGGGATTTTATTTTGAGGGTTTAGGGGTTAGGATTTAGGGTCTAGGATTTGGGTTTTTGTTTTGAGGGTTTAGGGTTTAGGGTCTAGGATTTGGGTTTTTGTTTTGAGGGTTTAGGGTTTAGGGTCTAGGATTTGGGTTTTTCGTTTTGAGGTTTTAGGGTTTAGGGTCCAGGATTTGGCCCCGGCCACCTGGAATCTGCCAGCCTGGGGCACAGACCAAACACGCAAACCACAATGGTGCGGGACCGGGCTGACGCCCGTGGTGTGTGAGGCGTAGCCGAGTCATTTCCGTCCCCGTGTGCCGAAAGGCTTTACCCTCCCTCACCATTCTCACGTGACGCTCGGCCAGAGGCCTCGGTCGGAGCCTCGAGCGTCCATGCAAATGGTCAGCGGCGCTCTCGGTGTTTTGATGGTTTAGGGCCTTTAGGGTTAGTCCGCTGTATACTAACTGTATACTACCATGAACTCCGATGATATACTGTGGTAACACTGCGGTATGGAAACAGAAGAATAATTTGCACCAACCCGGCCTCGAATGCATCTGTCACTGGCGACCACACGTGGCCTGGCAATGACGGGCAGTGTTGCAGCCTTGAGCAGTCTGCCAAATTTTCAACGGATTCTCTGACCCCACCTTTTCGCTTCGTGCGCTGCGGGCGTCGAGACTGTCCAGAATCCTGCGGCTGCCAATCCGGGGTGCGCCACTACGCTTTCGCGTACAGACTGCCAGATGCCATGAAAGCGCTGTATGCCTTCATGGACCATGAAATGCCCACGAGGCCTGATGCCGCTTCGGGTCTGGCTCGGCGCTGGCAGCGCGGGCTGCGCGGGAGGCCTTCACCGAGGTGCTGAAGTACGGAAGTGTATCGGTTCAGGGCAATAGTTCTAAATTACGTGTCCTTTACTGCTGCACGGTTTCCTACAGCATGAGGCGGTGAGTGCGGTGAGTTGCCCAAGAATGACCTGGCTGACAGTCACAACAGCAGCAATCAGCAGCTGTCATGAATAGTCATAAGGAGCCACGAGGCAAGTAATCGGAATTGGAATGATCATGCCGGTGATGATATGTCGATGATGATGATGATGATGATGAAGGAAAGAAAGCAGAATCATCTTGTGAGCTCGGTGTCCAAACTGGGAAGGCCTCTGCCACAGGTGTCGGTGCAGATGCCTGTGGTGCCTGCGATTGGCTTCGCTGCATGGCCTGTGCCGCTGGCGTTGAGTGCTAAGTTGGGGGGGAGGCTTGGTCGGGGTTTAGCTGTATGGGTTCCGGACCGTGAAGCCTTGAGATTCAACACAGAAAGAAGTATACGCCATGAACAAGAAAGCCTGCTCATGGCCACAAGCAACAGGCACCGGCATGTTCACTTCTTCTTGCTGTAGTAGTGCTTGCTTTTTTCCACGATAAACCACATGCTTAGGGATGACTGCACCTTAATAACATGCCTGAGGCAAAGAAGGAACACCAACAAGTCAGAACATGCACCCGGCCTTGCCCGAAGATGTAGATGCAGATGGGGCGGTACCCAAGGGTACCTGAACCTGCATTTCGCTGATTCAGCCATGAGGGAAGAATATTGATGATCAACATTCTGCCCTCCCGCTTCCTGCCTTGCACAAACCCTAAAGAGACAAGATTCAGGAATTAGCCAAGACGGTCTCGAATCCTTGAGCTTAAGTTCACTCCAGGTCTCGTCTACAAGATGTAGAGTTTTGGTTGGGGTTTAGGAATTTGTAGCATCATTCGCCAGGTTCTAATCTCGAATTTTCTGTCGGCAGACAAGATGCTCGCACACAAGAGAACCCTTGTCCAATTTCCCCCAGGACCGCATGATTCTAACCCCGCACAACTTGCCAGTTTGTATGCAGCTCCCGTTTAGCTACGTTTTACCTGTTTATCCTAGAGCTTCTTGAAGAAGGGCCCGAACACGGCACTAGCCATCCGAACTTCACAACACCCAGCCGCCGCCTGCTTCACCTCCGGCGCGGCCACGGCTGCCTCATCTTTAGCCACTGCCGGCCCCGCGGCAGCCGCGGACGCACCACCAGGCGTGGCAGCAGTGGCCGAGGTGGCTGCAGCTGCTGCAGCTGCTGCGGATGTCGCCGGGGCCGCCTTCATTTGCGAATTAAGGCCACTGCCTGGCTGCCTGGCACCCGTCCTTATCAAAGCCGCTCAACATTCGGAAAGAGCTCTGGACTTTCGCAAGAAAAGCAGAATGAGACCGAAAGCTTCGTACACAACCAACCAACGCCACAAGCGCAGGAAGAAAAAGCTGGGAATGATGATGGTTACGTTACATCTGCTTGTCTTTCTACTAGCGATTGTGGGGTTGCGTTGATGCTTCTCACATGTCGTTCTCCCTTTGCTAGATGGGCCAAAACAACAGAACGCGGTTTGGTGGGTTTACTTTGTAAGAAGATCGTGTCTGCGCTTTTAAGGTGACACTTCTGATTCTACCAATTATCCAGAGCCCTATGTTACTGTCACGGCTCTGTCCCTAAACCCTAAACCATAAACCGCATGCACCCGGCCTGGGGAGAATCGGGCTTCTTCGGCGGCGCCTTTGGCTGGAATTTTATCCCAGACAGGTCCAGGTCTTGGTTGGGCGTTAGGATGTAGGGCTTGGGAATGCACAAACCCCGAGAGATCTAGTTAATCTAGTCAGCACAAGTGATGTGTAGCTATGGAAAGACCGACAACACCCCTAGTGAAGTGCAGGGGGCTTGAGCTTAGGACGTTTGTCTGCATGCTCAGCGAGTTGGCACATGCAAGTCCCGTCCAGGCTCTAGTCTGATCAATGCAGACCCTCAAATGCGATCCCAACGTGCGAAGCGGACTGCGACGAAGCGAATGAAAGCCCCCAGGCCCTAAACCGCAAGGCCTACGAGGCTGCACCTGCAGGCTGGCCACGGTTCCGGCCGGGCGGGGCTGAAACGCTGGCCTGCCAGCATTGCCGCCTGCAGTTGTGGAGCTTGGCATGAGGAGGCGGCGGAGGAGGAAGAGGATGATGCGAATGATGATGGTGAGTGGTGATGGTCATGACGAGCATGACGATGATGAAGATTCAGAGGAAGATGAAGAAGCAAAGCAGGCTTCAGTCGCTGCTTTTGTTGATGATGGTGGCGGTCGAGGGCGTGGGTCAGTCATGCCCATGCGCTTGAGGTTGACAAAGTTGACTACTTCGGTCAGCCACACCTCGATAACGACCCCACAAGAAGATAACGCAATTTGCCATTGAGGTCTACAGCTGGATCCAGTCACACTGATTTTCGGTGGTGTCGATTTGGGGTGCTCGTAGGCTTGGGTAGATTTTCAGGTTTAGAGCTTTGCCGCAGGCGAGACCTGCAGGAGCAGGGCCACGTTCTGCGCCGGGACTGGGCCCTGTCAGGTTCCGCTTCGCGGCACCTGTCATCGCCAACAGCGTCACACCGCTGCACTCTCCAGCTTCAGATTCAAGCAGCATCTGAGGACACACAACGTCACACGACTAGACCCAAACTGCGGCTCAGCTCCTCTAGGCCCTAGAGGCTCTAGCCATCCGGCCCCAGGCGTTCCTGGCTGTGGCGCTGGCTGAGCTTGCTGAGGCTGCGCTGGAAGTGGCGCCTTCTTTCGCTGGCTTCGTCTCCTGCTCAATGTGAATTAATGCTCACATGCTCTACAGGAAGTCACGGGTGCAAGCACTCACACTGCTTGTTGACACAAAACCTTCTGTTCAAGACGGAACACAAAGCGAGGGCTCACGCGTCCTTGACCGCGCCCGGCTCTTGGGCTCGGCACCCTTTTCGTCTTTCAGCTCCTTCAATGGAGTAGGCGGAGATATCAACACCAGACATTCAGGAAATCTTTGACAAGCATGGCTTGAGTGGGGACTGCTGCTGCTCCTGCTGCGCCTTGCTACTCCTGCTACACTACTACTACTACTACTACTACTACTACTACTACAATAATTACTGCAACTACTACGACTGCTGTTGCTGGTACTGCTACTGCTACTGCCACTGCCACTTCCGCCGCTACTGCTGCTGCTGCTGCTGCTGCTGCTGCTCCTACTACTACTACTACTACTACTGCTACTGGTCCCGCTGCTGCTGCAACTCTCCTCACTACTGCAGCTGCTACTGCTGCTGCTGCTGCTGCTGCCGCTGCTGCTCCTGCTCCTGCTCCTGCTCCTGCCTCCTGCCTCCTGCCCCTGCCCCTGCTCCTGCTCCTGCTCCTGCTTCCTACTGCTACTGCTACTGCTACTGCTATCGCCACTACTTGACTCTACCACCACCACCACCACCACCACCACCGCCGCCACTGCCACTACCCCTTCCGCTACAGCGACCACGACACGATTAACACCCCGAGCCCAACCGCGACCTGACCACGACTACAACAACTACTAGTACCACCACCACAAAACGACGTTTTTGCTCCTACGACAACGACTACTCATGACTACTCCCTGCACTGCCATTGCCACTCCCACTGCTGCTAAATACTGCTACCACCACCACCCCACCTGTAATTAACTTACATTGCCATGTTCCCCTCTTTTCTAGCTCTTCTAAGTGCTGCGCCGTGTCAAAGCAGCTGATACGTGCACCTACTGGCGTGTTGCGTAGCAGAACTTGAAAGCGGGGCCGATGTCACCGATTGGATCCTTCTCCAACGTCTTAGAGAGTGCTTTGATGGAGGTGCGGAGCCTTTTCCTCAGAACAGGGATCTTCTTGTGCCCCAGTCTCTCTACATGAAACGGAAGCTGCGGATCTCAGTCTCATGATGCTGGCAAGTGGCTCTTCTACCAAACAGCCCACCAACTCCGCCTGACTGTTTCAGAGCTTTCTGCATGAGAGCTTTGCAACCGAGCTTCCCTACCCCGGGTGCAGCATGTTCCGTGGTTCGATTATGCTTTTCACAACATATGTCGAGCATAAAGCATACAAGATTCAATTCTTGTTGTCTTCTTCCCGCTGACAAGATGGAACGTCTTCGCCCTCGATGTGTGATGTGTGAGCAGACTGACGAGCCAAACTGCGCCCGAACCTGACGACGTCGCCTGAGCATCGCTGCAAGCCGCGACGATGCAAAACTCAGGGTCTGTGGACTGTGAACATAACTTCGGGATCGTCTCTGTTCGTCTGTCCTCAGTGATGGTTTGGTGACTCCCTTGACCAGGTGGAGGCCTTTGAATGAGATTGCCTGCGACTTTCGACACAATGCTTCCTAAGTCTGTAGATGCCTAGCTCCGACTGGACAAGGACCCACGACGTAGTAATGTGGGGTTCCACCTCCGTGAGGCGTCGCTGCAAGGAGCTCGTGAGGGAGAGCGCAAGGTCTCGATCGCCAAGGAGGCAGCTCCTTGTTATGGTTGCGAGTGCAGATACCGGCCACAGGCAGGTGAACTTGAGTTCGCACGCACCTCTTAACTCTCACAGTTGCACCTTGTGTGACATAGACATGGACATGGGGGCAAACAAAGTCAGGAGCAGTTCCCAGAAATCAAGCAGACATAGCTGAAAAAGGGCCTACTGTCTGGCAGCTTGGGTGTCGCTTCATCTCACTCGCTTGTCCTGTTTCCGAGAACAGAACACACTGTACTTGCTTGCAACCAGGCATCAGTGCCACAAACAGCAACTCGGCTTGGCGAGCCACCGGCGGGCACATCTCCGGAGCAGCCTCGCTGGAGGTCGATGTCGGCCCGGCTTGCTGAATGCCTGAGGAGCAGCTCTTCGAAACAGGCAATCCTTGCCTAGATTTCGGTAATATTCCCCGTTATGGTGCCCTGGTAGTACACATACGGAAACCCTTTTTTGCACCCTTCTGATCCAAGCGGCCCAGAAGCTTCAGGGCTTCGGCAAGTCTCTGCCGCAGCAGCGAGGAGGAGCCAACCAACTGCCGAAGCTCTGGCAGCGGCAGTTGCAACAGCATGCCCACCACCTCACCCAGATACATTTGAGGCTTAGGGCTTGGATGTGGAAGCACTTGATCCCGTTGCTCACTGGGAATCAAGTTGAAAGAAGTGAAGCTTCCGGCTGCAGAAGAATTTGAATCCTCACCTGTGAATGCATCACATGCCGACTCCGACGTGAGGCTTGTTAGGCCACCTCCGGAAGTAGCCCTTTTGATACCGACCCTCCCGGCAGCCATGGCTTCCCTGCCTTGGAGCTCATCTCCACAGGGCTCTCCTTGCCCAAGAGCATCTGAAGCTTCAGGAAGAGCAACTCCTCTTTGCTGGGACGAAAAAGGATCCCACTCCCAAGCCTACTAAAACTACCCAGTGACGCTTGGAAGGTGAGGAGCCTACATGCCTTACTTGAATCTTCCGTCTTTGCGCCTTGCTTGTCAAATCAACTTGCAGCTGAGAGGCACCGAGGAGAGTTCCTTAGTCTGACTGTCCATGCGATCACGCCAGTTTGCCCCGACAAGTTCAGACCGGGCATCTTTCCCGCTCCGGCGACGGTGGCTTAAATGAGACCGCCGAGACCTGAAGGTTCGAGGCACTTGTGGGGGACGGCAACGTTGAGCTGTATAGACTGAACAAGACCGCAGCAACGCGATGCAGCTAGCTATGGGGTTCGCACGATCGACAGTAAAATCACAAATATTCGCAATGACAGTGTTCTTACAATCAAGACTGTCGTCATACTGGCAGCGAAGAGGGACGCACGCGACTCTGTTCCGGCAAGATGCTTTGCTGCGATTTTTGACATGCTCCTCGTCGTCCTCCTCCTCCTTCTGTTCTTCCCTGGACATACCAGCACCGCCGTCCTCACCCTCGCCCTCGGCAGTGGGAGTCATGGCAGCGACAAGAAAACTACATTGGAAAAACTGTGCAGTGTTCCGCGCTGGTGTGCTTTAGCGAGTCGTCCGCCAGCCTCGACATGCCTCGACTCTAGCCAGCTTGAACTACCAAGACGGTCTGCGCAATCGCACTACCTCTGTGCAATGAACATGGAAGCTGTTGGAACAGCTGCGGTGCAAATGCATGCAACATGCAAATACTACAATAGTTTAAATACCAGTACTAATGGTGGCACTTACCACTGGTAGCTTCTGCTTCGGGGCATTCTACTGGATCGGCTACAATTGCTTACGAGTTGGTGCAAGCTGAAGTGATCACGCAGCTGGACGGCGTGATGCGTGAGATGTATCAAGGCATGATGAACAAGTTGGAAGCGGAGCGAATCCGCTCAGAAGAAGCAGAAATCCAAGCACAACAATTGCGAAGGCAGTTGGAACATGTGGGGGCGGAAACCCCCAGCACACCTCCACCCCGAAACCTTGCAGCCCTTCCAAGGACTGGACCCTAAAGCTTCAAAGTCAAACATGCTGCTACCATGCACGCCCGGCGAGACGTTCGAGCTGCAGAAAAGGAGGGGCCCAAAGAAGATCCCTATACGAAACAATACGATGCAATGCGATCCTGAATCATAATCAGGATTCATCCATACACATGAGCCCAACGCATTTGCTTGTGCATTCATCGCGCTGCATGGGTCAAGCTGGCAATGGATGATGATGCTTCCGACGTTTTCCGCAGTGAGTTTCCCGCATCTTCCGAAAATCAGCGCGCGGAAATTACTCCGCCCAGCTTCGCTGGAGCAAAGTCCCTGTCACTGAGAGGCAGAAAAGATTCCTGATGTGACATGATCAGGCTTGGACGACTGCGAGTGTTGTGCTCAGCACCGAACGCTGGAGCCTGTGCATGAGAATTGCTTCAAAAAGCCTTGGACGGCATGACTTCCAGTCTTCACCTGCATGCAGATGCTCGAGGTGCTGATCTGCAAATTGCAACTCTTGATCCAAGAGGTCGAGCATGGGCGTTCTTGGAACCATGGCCCCATACTCCCTCCTCTTGCTCTGCAAGTGTCCCCTAGCTGCTTCAAAGGCAAAGTGGTCAGCATCGAAGACTGCCTCTTCCAGCACCCGGCCTGCTTCCAGACGTTCCAAGTGATCGCGCACCTCCAAGTTTTCAGTGGGGGCTTCAAAGGCTGTAAGACCGCTGAGGTTGCGTCGCAGGCTGGTGCTTTGCTCCGCCATGACGTAGCCTTGAGAAGAGACGGAGGCTTCTAGGAGAGTGATGCTGCCGTCTTTCATCGGAGCCGTGGCTGGTACAGCCAGCTTCACCAGAATGTCCCTTCTCTCGCCGACGCTCAGATCAGGTATTTTCACATGCCACGTCAAAGGATCACTCCCACTACAGTAGCAGTCAAACGGGGTGAGTATGTCCTCGACCTCGAAACGAGGCTTCAGCACCACCTCGACCTGCTGCGCGACAACGCTGGACAAAAGGCCAACGAGTCTCGCAAGAGCTTCTTGGAGCAAAGGTGCTTGCTCCAGGAATGTAAATGGTGTCTTGGATCTTAGGGAAAGCTCTGGCAGCGCATCCATGCTTTCGTCTGATGCCAACGCAAAGGTGTACAGGCTGCATGGAACCGCAGCACACCGGTCGAGCAAAAAGTCCATGTGATCCTGCAGGGATTCATCAACAGTTGAAGACAGCAGGCCGAAGTCGGACCATGTACACATATTTCAAGCTCACCTGGTATGTCCTCCGGTTAGACTGACGGCTCAGATGAATACAGATAGACCGCGGATCTACCATGGCATGCCAAAGGTTGGGTTTCGAGGGCGATAACCGGCATTGAGAGTGAGCATTCCAGATCAAACCTTGAGACTCTACCTGTCCAAGGGTACAGCCGCACTGTGACTGTGCATGCAGCCTAGTAGTACTGAAGAACCCGCACAGATGTCCTGCAGCAGGGCATCTCCACCGCATGCAAGCAAGACGATTGCTGACACCGCAGAAGCCTCTGGGCCCTCCGACGTGTTCTCCATGCACTGTAAAGCCAGAGCAAGCCCACGCGTGACGTCGGCATGTTCTCCTGTCTGCACCGCCGCGAGAGCCTCAACCACCCGTTGCTTGCCCTCGTCATCCATGTGGGTTAATTCGAGCACGACTCCTCCAGTATCGCTGGAGGAGGCCACGATTCCCAGCTGATCTTGTGGGGCAAGCCACTGGAGCATGTCACACAAGGCAGTCTGGACAGGGCTCTGGTGTTTCGACATAGATGCAGAAGTATCCAACATGCAGACTATTCTCAACGGGACGCGGTGTAAAGCTCCCGGTGTAGAAGGGACGGTCGGTGCCTCCAGCGTAAGTTGACCACAGACGATGGCGTCATCAAATGGTAGCTCCGAGTGTTGCATCACGCAACTCAGTTGCAGAGGTGACCTGTCTAATGCTACACTCAGCAAACCCAGCAAAGACCATTCCGGAGGCTTGATATACTTTGGCTGCTCAACAACCAGCATTAATATCCTGGCTTTGCCTCCAGACAACACGCATGGTTTCACAGGAATGCCATGCAGTGTCTGCTGCGCCTTCTTTAAGTCCAAGCGTTCAATGGGCCTGACACACATGAAACGTTCTGCAATGCTGGCACCTTTCCAGACGGATAGAGGGCTGAGGTTGTGTTTCTTGATTAAGTTCATGTCCAGCGCCACAAAAAACACTCGTGTAGATTGATCCGGCATCAACCACCGAGGAAGTGTGAACTCTACATCGAGCTCGTACGGTAAAGAGTGCGCGAACTCCTGCACTGGGGGCTTGCCTTTGGCCGTTGGCGAAGTTCGAGCATCAAGCAGTCGAAGTGTCGAACAGCTCGTCAGCAACCTTTCACGAGCGATGGACGGTTCTGAGCTGTGATGTGTCGTCGCGAAATGGCGCATGCTTGGCAGCGGTGCAAAGCCGTGGGGACAAACGGTCTCATGCCTTACACTGGCGGTACACGGGGCTGGCTGATGCTCAAGCTTGCGACCGCCGTCGCGCTCGGATCTCTTGAAAGTCCGGCTCTTTGCATGCGGCATCCCATGAGGCAGGCGGTTTGTTGATCTTCAACCGAGATCAGAAGTGGTGATGCATTAACCTCCGCTTGCTACAAGTAGCGCTCAACAAATAGCCTACGTGGCAGCTTGCAGTTGGCTTCCTGCTGCAAGTTTCCCACATCTGGAACCTAAGCCCTAAAGTTCCTAAAGCCGAAAACTCTCCAGGAGCCAAACAGCTCCGGTTCGGTCGTCCCAAGCTTCTGAGGCGGGAGAGGACCAAGATTTTGTTAAAAGGAACCATGTTTCACAAGAGCCCCAGATGCTGCAAGAGCGCTTTCACCGGATAGTTTCCTTCGCACCGCCGCGAACCATCCCAGCTCTGCCAAGGCAAGCTTGCTAGGAGCACGAGTTTAGACTGGCACAATGGGATACATGCCCTATCAGTGACTTTGAAAAGACAATGGCTCGTTGCAATGCGACTGGCCCAATCCTGAGGCCGTTTTGCCTCGCTGCGGCTCTCACAGGGGCGAGATCGCAGGTGCCTGCGAATAGGGTTGCATTGCTGCAGCAGCGTGTGCACCACTTGTGTTTCCTCCAGCGACATCCACCGGCATGACAAGCAAGATAATACAAGACTTTCGATCAAGACACTGCCAGCTGGTACTGCAGATCCAAGTAGCAGGTTAACATAAGGTCTTGCACACCACTCATGAAACGAGCACTTGCCGTTTAAGCCGATCCTTGCCCGGAAGCGCCAGGGAAGGCAAGGACTCCGCCACGATAGGGGCGGCATCTGCAAAGGCAGCAGGGAGGCTCAAAGGTTCCCATCAAGACCAATCTTGCCGTGCAGCATTCCTGAAGATTCCCGTCTCGAATCCTTCAAAGGCCCTGTAGGAGCATAGCTGGACAAGCTGGGAAACAGGAGCAGAAACAGCGTCTCAGTGGTAAACCTTCTGTGGATGCTGCGACAAAGTGCAGCTGATCGGCTGCAACTGCCTAAAGCCTAAAGCCACATCCCAGCAATGAAAACAAAACTGAAAACTTACGCGCCTTCGGGCATGTAGACCGTGGCGTGCCCGAACATTTGCAACAACTTTTCCACTTGGGCCTCAGACGCAGATCTCGCCTGCTTGTGCATCTATCGCAGCAAGATCCCCTCTGCACGTTCGCCGCTACGCAAGGTGAGGCAGGTATGCGTGCTAGTCACATCTTTTCATGGAGCTCAATGAGGGGTCAGTGCCGGTACTGCAGATGCTGCCAAAATCATCTGCGCTCCAAACTTCTTGTGGCCACTGGCAGTTACTGGCAGCAGCAGACGAATACTGCACCCGAGCATTTGCAAAGACCATCAAGTAGCATTGTGCAAAACCTGAGCGGTGCCCTTGCCCTGCTCCACGGGGAGCAACTTTGCAAAGGAGGGCCGTATCAAACGCGGAAGGCCGTACCAGCGGAAAAAAGAAGACATTAGACACTGGGAGCCCCGCCACGGAGTGCAGGAGCTCCTTCTCTCTGCGCTTCTGGCCGACAGTTTCGATCTTGAAGGGGAGCAGGGACAAAGCCCTCTCCACCTGAGCCGTCCAAAACCATGCATGGTTGGCCAATGCTTCTGTAAAGGCTGCTTTGCCGCGAAAAAAGCTGCCGGGCCTTGCTTTGACTTGCTACAGGTCCCCAATGCGACAAGCAGGTCGCCTCCACCTTCCGTCGCTGCAAAGCCTTGCGGCCACACGTGGATTCCAAGACTATGCAAGTTCGGACAGAAATCGCGCACGAAAGTTCAGAGCCTGGCCGACAGCCAGTCAAGACTCATGTTTGAACACAGCTCTTCGCCGGCCTCCAGGGTGACTTGCCGCTCCGCCTCTGGAACGCGCCTGTGAATGAGTAGCAGCAGCAGCAGCAGCAGCAGCAGCAGCAGCCGTAGGCAGTAGCAGCTGCAGTAGTGAGGAGAGGTGGAGGAGTTGGTGGAGGTGGTGGAGGTAGTAGCGGCGGGCGGCCGCGGCGGTGGTGGTGGTGATGTCATGATGTCATGGTGCTTTCATGATGGTCGTAGCGGTCGCGGTGGTTGTGGTGGTCGTCGTCGTCGTCCTCGTCGTAGCAACGTTGATCCATCTGGGACTACGAAGAATAACAATGACGATAGTATGTGGTATAAGCTACTGAGATGCGAGTACTCTCAGTTTTCTACAAGCATTGTCGGAAGATTTGTGCCTCAATACAGTGTCGATGCAGGACATAGGTCAAAAAAATCATAGGACAAAGAATATCAAGTGCAACACGAACAGTGCGTCACGAACCATGACATCAACAAACACCTCCAAAAGAAACAGACTCACAGGCGACTGAATCTGGACGGAGGTTACAAGCGGAGCTGCTTGAAACCTCGAACATGCATCTTGCACGTTGTTTTCCTCCTGTGCAAGTGCTGTTCAAAGGCCTTTCTTAGGCAGCGGGTGTTTCTCCTGATGTGCTCCCATCAGGCTTTGCCGGAACGACGTGTTAGGCGTGAGAACGGCACCCTAGACTGCCAGTAGCCCAGGTTGGATGGTTTAGGCACAAGGTGTCGAGGGCGAGTGCCAGTTCTGAATCGGGCTTGTACGATCTCGCCGTTGACCTCAGCTCGTGTCTTCGAGCTGTCCGGCCTGCTTCACCAGGGAGTGAACTACCCGGGAAGTGGGCCTCCACTTGGTGCCGCTTTTGCCAATGTCGGCCGGCACTTCGTGCTGGTCAGCGGACCATAGACGGTTGCGATGCGTCTCGCTGCTTGCACTTCTCCTCCGGGCTGACGGCCGATCCTCTCCATACTCTCAAGTCTCAGTAGTCTCCGATGTCCGTAGCCGGAAGGAGGCTCAGCACAAGTCTGCAGTGCCCTGAAAAGCCTCCAGCTCAGACGGAAGCGCCTGGCACCGACTGCAATGGGCCTGCTGAAGCGAAGCAAAGCTGAGCATTTACAGCAAGTCCCACGGTCCTCCGTCTTGAAACCGATTGGAAGACACTTGTCAGGTCTTCTTTCCTGCCAGCTCCTGCAGAACTGCAGCCCAAGCGGAACGAGAAACTGACATGGTGGAGAGATTGCTATTAATATTAATATGCCGATATTGCAAAAAGTAACCAGCACACGCTGCTGACAAATCCGTGCTTCTCTCTCGGCGATATCCATCTCTAGCTGGATGCAGAAGGCAAATTCACTGGGTTTCAGCATTGTCCTGCACCTCTTGGCGGAGGTGCGTTGGGCAGAATCGCAAAGCCCTGACACATTCAGGAGACCGCACTGGCAAAATATCGAAACACCTCGTGCTGAGCATCAACTGCCACAGTCAGAACAGTGGGTTGCCACAAGTACCACCACTTCCACCACCGCCACCTCCACGGATTCTACTGCTGCTACCACTACCACCACCGACTAATGCTACTACTGCTGACGCAACGACCAAACTCAAGACTGCTAGGCCATGGCATAGTCAAAGTCACACACACACACAACTGCTACGCACTGCTACACCTGCTGCACTTCTCACAGATCTTGTGGCCGAGTCCCGGGAGTCGTGCTCAGAAACGCATGACGACGGCCAGTGCCGAAGTAAACTCTATTAAGGATTCCAAAGTCGCCCCGCTTCGGCCTCGAGTTTCGCTTCACGGCCTTGGCTGCATTGAAATTTCGTCATGCCAGCTTCCAAGGTGGCCTCGTGTTCTCTGCACTTCGAATTTCTCTGGATTCTTCAGGTAAGCTGCTTTCGCCAGCAGCTCCACATCTTGAAGCAAATCGGCTTCGGTGCCCTGCTTCTGCTTGTAGCCGGCCTTACCTGTGCCACAAGACCCTTGTGCATGTCTGACATCACCCTATGAGACCAGCAGCAAACAGCAGGCAGCAAGCAGCAGGAAGCACGCACTGCACACACGCACGTGCAGCGCCTGTCTTGCTCCGAACTGGGCGGTTTCCCATGTCGGCTGGGCTGAGCACCTGGTCAGGAGACGTCGAATTCCGGTGTGCTGTGCCGAAGCAGTGCCCGAAAGATCTGGTCTGAAAATCCCACCTCCTGGCAGCCAAGGAGCGTGTTCAAGGGCCATGGGATCCGCACCGATGGCAGCCGTCACCACCTGCTGGCAGTGTGGTCTCATGAGAAAACTTCTTATCATCTCGCTCCGAATTGGTGCTTTGCAGAGACGAGACTGCAGTAACAGACTGCGAATGCATTTCGCTTCGGATGCCTCGCGGTCCATTCTCAGAGCTGACTCTGCAAACTGCAGGGCAGAGCCATACTTGTTCACGGCCAGCAGAACCAACTCCTTGTCGCCTCCTTAGACACATGTGCGGATTTCAAAGACTGCACCCGGTAATCCCCATCCTTGCGAACCGAGGCCTCCACGTAGCTCTCTGGACATATACTGCAGGGGCGTCAAGGCGACACCAGACCCACGTTCATGCCAGTCGATCCTTGCTCTCTACACTCCAACAGCCAGGGCCTGCTGCATGTTGCTGCCTACATCATGCAGCATCCGACTCGGGGGAGAGCGGAACGACGGCATTCAAGACCTTGAGAGCCTCAAACAATCTGCGAGAATCCGAGTTCCTCACAGGTCCGAAGCTGAGAAGTTTTTTGGCGACTCTGGCCCTTGGCACCCCGCCAAATCCCTGTCACCCCGAAGCCGCGCGGATGCCCATCGCAAGTTCATCGGGTTCAGCACAGCAGCCTGGTTTCAGTTCGCCATGTGGCGCAAGCGGTCACTGTGACATGCTATCAGATTGCAAACCGATAGAGGCAAGGTCCTCGACACAGTCGCCGTCATCCCGAAAATCACCGGCGAACTGCAGGGCGTCCCCGTTCCGAGAAAGGCTGAGCGCATGCGGGGCTGAGGAAAAAAGGCAAGTCTTGTTGGCCCAGCAGCAGTTCGACTGCAGACTGAATGTGCAGTCAAGCGGCAGCTCCAACACAAAGTCTCGATCCTCTTTGATGGAGGCTGGCATGTGTTCCTCGAAAGCTCAACGCCGAAACTCTACTCAACAGCCTACCCCCGTCTGACAGTCTGAAAATCCTCTGCTAAATCCAAGCTTCAAGCTCCATGGGGTTTCCAGCAACAAGGGCTCGAAGCACCTCCTCGTCGGCCTGCAGGTCCTTGGATGAGGCCAAGACAGAGGTGCGGCTCAGGAACGCAGGAGTCCAGCAGCCTCTGCTTCTCAGATGCAAACACTAGAAGACTGCGACTCCGCGACAGGTGACCAAAATCTAAAGTCTTCCGTCCCATCTCGCAGAGCGGGAATTAGAAAGCGAAAGGCTGAGGCAAAGATAATTTATCGAGGGGGGCAGAAGTGACAGGACAACACAGTCGCAACTGCAGTGCAACAGTGGAATGCTAAGAGGAACTGAAACAAACACACACAAACACACAAACAAGCAAACAAACACAAACAAACACAGAGCGAGAGAGAGAGAGAGAGAGACAGACAGAGACGGAGAGACACCCACCGAACAGGAGAAAGAGCAAGACAGATCTCTGTCCGGGATTGGTGAACGACAATTTCTAGTACCAGGTCAGAGTGCCTTTTGCATGATGCATCTCGCGTGGTGTTTGTATGCGCGCACACAGCAGCAAAACCAAAGTGGCAGCTGAGGAGCTTTGTGCAGATCCGACATGCGCGAACATCCGTTCTCGGCGCCTTTGGGGTGCGGGAGCTTTCATGTTCTGCCGCGATGAAGGTCAGGAAGGCGGTATCGAAATCCAAGGCAGCGTCTAAGGTGTTTGCTGTTTGAAGGGCGAGACGGGGAAACAAAAAAGCAAAAACAAGCCACGTCCATATCCAGCGTGATATTCCTGGCCGAACCTCACGAAGTAACTTGGACCTGAGGACCGTACATGCAATGACCACCTCCTTATCAGAGCGAAGGGCTGCACCAATCATGCCTCAGAGCTGAAGACCCGAGAGGAGCTTCATAAGACCCATCTCGTTATTACCCTTGTAGCAGCTCATATAGTAAGCGTCGTAGTAAGCCTTTTCTGCCTCTTTCTAGTCCCAAATGAAAAGTAAGCCTTCTAGCAACCTACACGGAGCTAGACAGCTAGACCCCCAAATCCTGAATCCCGCCCTAGTCATAGCGTCTCTTGGCCGTGCGGCTCAACAAGTTCCACCGAAACCTCTTCGAGACGTGCCTGCAGGACGGGCAACGTCACTTACAAGGCGGCATTTAGAGTTCCACCACTTGAGGAAATCCACCTGTGGCAAAACGAGACTCTTCGAAATCGCAATGCATGTGAAGCGCAGAGATCTGCTGAAGTTCACTCCGCTTTCACCCGAAGAAAAGTGCTCCTAGGTTGAACCAGCTCCGAGCAAGAGCACCCATCCTGGCAGCTAGGAGGACAATCTCACGGTCCGCCTTGTGAGCAAAAAGCCAGGTAACACGCCTCAGCAAGAGCCTTCTCAGGGCCTGCAGGGCCGCTGGGGCGTGTTGCAGGCACTCGCCTGCAAAGGCAGTGGAGAAATGCAGCGCGCAACGCTGTGCAGGCATTTCCGCACCTTGCTGCTCCAGGACTTTCATCGTCAACCTCTGCAACCGACAGGTTCGGCAACTGTCCCCAGCAAAGGGAATACACGAATGTAGCGGGACTCTCAGAAAGACGATTTTCCAGTTAATTTCGAAACGGCCCGGCTGCAGATGCTGCCTGTGCTTACGTCGGCCTGCACTTCAGAGCGTGAGAAGGGGGAGGAGGAAAAGCACGGCACGATGACGATGACGATGACGATGACGATGATGATGATGATGATGATGATGATGTTGTGATGGTGATGATGATGATGATGATGTGATGGTGATGATGTTGATGATGTTGATGATGATGATGATGATGTGATGGTGATGATGTCGATGACGATGACGGTGATGGTCATCCCCCCCTCGAAAGCAGCTGCACAACTTCCTTGACTTTACGTACATTTTGCCGATTTCAGGCGTTTCAGGGCGTCGACGGAATGTCATAAGTCATAGTGACTCATAGTGCAAGCACGCGCATGCCATTGTCTCACACAGAACAGACTCGATCCCGACTTGGCTCAGAACGCACCCTGCAGCAGACTGGTACTGATGTATCGGCTCATGGTGCCATGGTTTGCACTTCAAGGTACTGTTTACAGCGTATATGCCTTTTCTTTCCACTGCGAAGCTTCTCGAGGCCCTGGCTCCTTGTGGCTCTTCACCTCCATGGAGAGCTGCCTGTACATCGAGCAGCGGTACGGGACCACAGCCTCCATCAACTCGCCTGAGGTGATGAATGGAAACGATACCAACCGTGTACGCTGAGTAGCATTTTTGGGGTTTGGGGTTTTGCGCACGATCGAGAAGAGAATACCTCAAAAGATGCTTGCGGCATGAGCATCAAACATGCACTCGAATCTGCACTGCCTCTCTGCTGGAGGTGGGCCAGCATGACCCAAACCTAAATCACACCTTGCTGACGAGAGTCTGTCTTCCCAAAGCTCCATGTCGATGAAGTTCACAAGGGAGATGTCTTTTTCCAGCGCTCTCATCGCAACATCTCCTAAGTCGAAGTTCACTGCAACCAACAGCAACGACCGAGTCGGAGGCATGCTTGTACACGCGGGAAGGCTTCACTGCGCGCCAGGCGGAAGTTGGGCCCGGAGCGGGACGGCCAGAACCGAGAAGGTCATCTTCGCCCAAACCCCAAACCACAAACTCCAAATTCCAAGCCCGAACCCCATACGGTTCCCACTAGGGCCCGCTGTTTCAACTGCTTTAAACGAAAAATTAAGAGCTCTCAACGTGAAGGCGTAGATACTCTTGCCATGCACGAAGTGAACAAGTGCTCTGAAAAAGGAGCCCCTAGTCCATTCAGACCCTTGACCCTAAGCCCGTGAACTTTAAGCCTTTTGAAGCTCTATATCCTATCAAAGCCCTCAGAAACCGCCCCTTAGCCCGAAACCCTAAACCCTAAGTCGCGTGCTGAATGGGTTTTCTGGGCTTTTTTTTGCTGCATCCGAGAATCTGTCTGCTCGCAGAGCGTCGGAGGCAAACTTGAATGCCTGCTCAGGGCTTTTTGGGGACTGAGATGGACTGAGGGCTCAGGGCATTTAGGGGTTTTGGGGCTTAGGAACTTAGGGTTTAGCCGTGTATCTGTTCTTTTCCGGAAAGGCAGTGCTCTTTTCCACGTCCCGCACACGCGAGATAGCCACTGCGACAGCATTGGAGATCGCAGATCGATGCATGGTATGATCCCTGATCAAATCTGCTAAACATCGCAAGTAGTAGCAGCCTGCACATTCTGCTCCATAGCAGCAAGAACCACATCCCGGTCCGCTTTGAGCTCCTGGAGACCGTAAAAGCTTTTCAAACTGTGCTGCAGATTCTACAGACTTCCATCATAAGCCCCTGCTACACTGGTCAGTCCTCTGGTGCTTTGCGCAACCGCTTGTAGTCGTTGCCTTGAGAAGCTACTGGAAGGGGCTTCGCTTGACTAGAATCCAGTCGATCACCTAAGCTACACAGCGAAGGCCGAGTTGCTAATCTCATCCAGCCAATAGTCAATGTCGTAGGACTGCCGCATGGAACAGCAGGTCGACGCACTGTGCATGATGATGCCGCATGGCCCAACGGCATACCCAGCTGCAGCCTTGCCTGCCGCACAAGCAAGATCTCGACTGTCGGCTCCTGCGAGTGCATCCCAATCTGCACTGCTAAGCCCCAAGCCTGAACTCCTGGCTGGCTGACTAAACCCTGAAGTTAGTTTTGCTCGTCGTCCAACGCATCCGATCGGTCCTATCGCATCTCACCGAGTGAAACCGTGCAAACGAAGGAAGGCCAAGGACATTGCAACTGCCGGAGATGAGCTGAGAAGGAAAAAGGCTGTGCCTTCATGGCTGGTTTTGTAACTTTGCGGTTTCCGGTTCTAGACCGTTTCAGCAGTCAATTCGCCAGGGTCTGAAGCTGGGTCCGTGCTGAAGAGGAAGCCGACGGTTTTGAGAAATACGTTTAGCCTCCCTGGCCGGGCCACGCAAGCTATTGAAAAAGCAAAACAAGAAGTCCTCTGCAGGTAGAACCTCCGTCAGCAAGTCAACGTTTCCTGCGGACTTCTGACTGACATCGGCAAGGCTTCTGAATCAAATCTTCTGAGACAGGTGCGGATGAGCCTGCTGCCATACAGGAGCTTCATGCGGCCTCGATGCCAGCGCAGACAGGGCGCAGAGCTCCCGCGAGCGAGAGAGAAAGACAGAGCCGAGAAGAGGAGAGAGCAAAAGCATCGGAAGCGAGATACACCAATCTCTTTCTTTCACCAGGGCTAGGGTGGTGGAGGAAGAACCCCTATCACTCTCTCTCTCTCTCTCTCTCTCTCTCTCTCTTCTTCCTTCGGGTTAGAGGGGCAAGTCACGCCCCCCATGACCAGGCCAGAGGCTGCCCCCCACCCCTTGCGCGCGCGCACCTGCGGTCCGCTGCAGGGTTTTGGAAGGTCCGTTGAGGGCTTTGCCCTCGCAGGCTCAGCTGTGCAAGGGTAAAGGGTGGTCATTCCCCAGGGCTCACACTCCGAACCAGTTTGGCAAACATGGTCGTCTCGACCCCAAACGAAAACAGTAGTCACTGAAAGAGCCCCGGGCCAGCTTGAGGACTGTTTCCCCTCATAAGCAACAGCGAGTATGGAAAATCAATCTAGTTCCCCCTCTGTGCTGGCGGTCGGCCACGGCGATACCCGTCGTTGCTAGCTCCTTGTTCCTCCGAGTGAAGCCGGCCCCTAACTCCCGCTCTCTCTCTCTCTCTCTCTCTCTCTCCCGGGCGTGAGGGCCGGTCAAAGCCCCCGGGCCACAGGCCCACCCGCATATGATGAATGCAGGCTGAGGGGTGTGAAGAGCGAACATAATACTTCCGTGGAGTACGATAACGAAGCCAGGAAGTATGTATGTTCTCGATGACAAACAAGCTCCCCCGGTTTTGTTGATGATGCGCCCAATTAGAACAAGAAACCAAGAACATTGGAAAAGAGAGTAGGCGTAGAGCAGCATCAAGCTTTCTTCCCCTGCTCAAAGGCTCGCTCTCTCTCTCTCTCTCTCTCTCTCTCTCTCTCTCTCTCTCGTGTATAAGGCATGCCTACATGTCACGCAGAGCGCGTTTCTAACTCTGTGTGGCTGTGTGTGAGAGAAGGACACGCCTCACTTGCAGCAGTCTTCGCGGACAAGCTGCTCTGAGCCGTTTTGGTGAGCTCGGCTATCGCAGCCTCTGCTGAAGGAGCCATGCCCAAGCGCAATACACACGGAATGAGAACAAGACGTGCCATCCCTGCCTTCAGATCTCGACCGAACCAGTCCGGCTGGGAGTGAACAGTGCATAAGGGGCCACCCAGTGTGCTCACGGTGATCTCCTCAGCGAAACTGACGCGGAATAACCCAAATCAAGAAAGAAAGGCGGGGGGACACTGCAATGGCAGCTTGGCTTGGCACTCAAGATCGGCTGAGTGCGGGGCAACGGCCATTCGTCTCGAGCAGAAACTTCTGAGCACTCAAGGCTGCGCTCGGCTGCGGCTGCGGGCAAAGAGCATCCCCTTATTTACAGACTGCCCAGCGCCTGGAAGCCCTGAAGTAACTGATGCTTGCAGAAGCTACCTAAACAAGCAGAGGAGCTGTCAACAGAACTAGAAGCATGCATGCCCTTCCTCATGCTGCCTCTCGTTCATGGTTGCTTGGAACGCTTGTGAAAGCCCTGGTGGTAACCCTCATATGAAACCTCACTTACAGAAACCCATTCCTTTCGGGCAGCCTGTAACCTGGAGGTGGCTTCGGCTCCGGCGGATTTGCTGCTCGGCGCCTGCGGCGGGGGGGGGGGGATCGATATACATGTGGACATACCGATCTATCGATCGATGTTTCCATCTAGAAACTAGCTCATTACCGAATTAGACCTAAAGCCATAAATGGAATGTCATGGAATATCTACAGTCTATTCATCTGCTTTCAGGTGTTATCCGGGCACTTGTCCGAGCTCAAGTAGAGAGAAGTCTTTGAGAAAGCTCTTGGCCTCTGCTCCGCCAGCTCGGCCTGGAATTCTCGGGGTCACTTCGGGAATCGCCGTTGTTTTCTGTCGCCCGTAATCCTAGGAACTACTACTGACGGCTTGGGTGCTTCGGGGTTGAGGATTCAGGGTACTACATGGTACTACTTGGGGGTTTGAGGGCTTCGGGTTTGGGATTGTGGTGTGGAACCCTCCGTGTACTTAAGGACTGGAACGAAGCTGTCAGAAAGACCCTCGAAGGGTGCAGCACCAACACGCCGCAAGCGACGACGAAAGACGTAAAGAGGGTCCGCGCTCTCGGCAGCACTGGGCGAACCCGATGAGCAGTCACGAAAAATATTGAAGCCCCTGGGAGCTATGCCAGTTCGAACATCAAGCATCCCAGCAAGAAGGAGCCTGCATAAAGAAGAACCCCTGACAGTCTGGCTCCAATTCAACCTGCTTAAGCATCTTGGATCTTGGCCTGCCGTCGCTTCAGGTATGCGGGAACCTGCACCGCAACATTGCAGCAGCTGACATCGTAGACATGTCGAAAAACCGCGGTTGCCCCACGACTGCCTTACCAGCTCTGGGATTCTGCAGTGGCGGAAGCTGGGTGACCTGCGACTCCGAACTCTGCCCCAATAGTGACATCTCGTGCCATGTGCAGACGGTGAGTGCTGCAGAAGGCTGAATCTGTAACCATCCACCCCTCCATACCCCTCCATCCTCACAGCAAAACCGACCTCAGGCTTTGGAGGTCCAACCTGCGATGCAACGGCGGGGTTTCAGGGTTGAGGGCTTGGGATTTGGGGTGCAGGGCGAGGGGGTCTCTAGGATCTTTTTGTGCGGGCCCTTTTCCAACTGCTGATCAGAGGATTTACGGCTTAGGATTTCTTGAGGGTGGAGGAGTTTAGAGTGCAGGGAGGACGCTTGTTTCAGGTGTTTTTAGGGCCATGTTCCACCAGCAGATCCTGTAGAGGGCTTGTTGGAAGGGCTTCCCCTTCGTAGGGTTTCTATGTTGGGATCCCTTGTTGTTCGGAAACTGTGGCATCATCTTTGTGGTTGTTGGTGCTTTCTGGTTCAGATTCAGACTGAGATCCCAGACTTGCCGCGATGGACCCAGCAGCTTTCAGGTTCCTGTCAGAACCACGGACACACCGGCCTTCCCCGTTCTCCCCGGGTTCCCGGGTGCACGTGGAGCTGGATGTAAAGGTGGCCTGTGGCTGCAGCTAGGAGTCTGTTCGGCATCACAGCGTTCAGAAGCAGAGAACAGAAATCAGAAACCCTCTAGTTCTAACCCCCGGATTTCCACAGCCCCTCCCTGAAAGTCCCTGGGGGACCGGCAGCGATGTCTTCTGCGAGGCTGGCGCCTTGGGCGCCTTGGCCACGGCTTTCCATTCGGCGAGATCATGACTCCACGAGTCAGTCTATCGATCCATCTGTCTATCTGTCTATCCTCTGTTTATCTATCTATATATCTTGCTAGCTGTCCGTCTACCTACATCTGTACATATAAGTGTACATGCATAAATGTATGTAGCTGCGGGTACCCACATGTGTTTGTATGCCAGTTTTCATTTGTACTTCATGTTCATTTCTGTGTTGATGGTTCCTGGAACAGGCCCCAAACTACCACGTATAGAACGAGGACATCGACCGCGAAGGCATCATCTTAATCATGAATCCAATCCATCGGAACAGCAACGATAACAATCACAACAATAAGACTAATGACTTTGTTGTCATTATCATCATGTGCTTTCGCCAGAGCATGTCCTTTCGATGTGCCGTGAGCCTTCTCCCAGGCATATCTTAGAATCATCCGTTCCTCGTGATTCTGAATTATCTTGGAAGCTTCCCACCTTGTAGGCCGCTGCTCGTGCAGCGCATGCCGCATTCCCAGATGGGCACAGGAAATCAATACATCTGATGCAGCCCTGCATCCATGTCTGGAACTTTGACACACTAACCTGACTTTCCATGACAGACCTAAACTGCTGGTGCAAATCGTACAGAAAAACCTTTGCAGCTTCCTCATGTGCATCCATACTTGGCTTCCTGCCGAGTAAAGTTTCATACTGTGTATTCAGAGATCATACACGACAGTTGGGACTCCTCGTAAAGCCATGTCCTCGCCAGACTGTTCTTCTCACACAACAGGCAGCGCGAAGTTCTCTTGATTCCAACAAGTAAATATCCGAATGATATGCACGTCTCGGGCCTGGGGTCGAAACCGCATGCGCAGGTGCTGGAAGCACAGGTTCCGTCGGAGTGCGATCCAGTGGATGGATCTTGGCAGGTTCCTGGTGCACAGACACATCCCGCACAACCCACGCCACGCACGCCACACAATACTTCGCCTTAGCAGCTCGGAAGACAAAAGCACCGGCTGACATTCGACAGAACGTGTCACAAACCTTCCAAGGTTTCAACAATGTCACAAACTACTTGCCAGGTTTTCACGACTAGGGCCAACCAACAGCCGGTCCTTTGCCCGCGCCAGCAGAATCTCCCTCAAGTTTGGCATGGACTATCCTGCAGGTCCAATGGGGCCAGGTGAACAGATGCCAGGAAAGGGATCGTAAGCTCTGCCAGGCTGCCAGGCTGCTAGATGCCACGGAATCCGGCCCAGAGCAATTCCGGCCACCAGCTTCGCTTGACGTCTGCTATGACTCTACTCTGCTCTACTTCTGCGAACGCTACTGCTGTTACAACTGCGGCTTCTACTGCTAGTACTACAACTGCGGCTGCTACTACTACTACTGCTACT